AAGATGTTAACGTAGAGTTGTTTTTTCTAAACTAACACCTCAGCACTCAGGTTTAGCTGCAGTGCTGGCGCTTTGGGATGAGGAAGTGGGCTGGGGCTGCAGTCTGACACCCTGTGTCTGGGTTCGCAGTTCCTGCCTCAGGCTGAAGCTGTAGGTGCCTGGCAACACCAAGCCACAAGTCCTCTCGGCAGCACTGCACAGAGCACAGTCGGCCCCACGATCAGAGGAGCCCACAAGAGTCCGTGAAAATTCAGTGTGGTGAGCACAGCCCCCTGGTTTGGAGGTTGCCTGCGGGGTTTCTCTTCTCTACTCACTACTGAGAGCTGGGCTGCGGCCAAGACCCCTGCTCTTCTTCTCCCTGCAGACCTACGACCAGGGTCACATCCACTGCTGTTACTGCTGCCTCCCTTCGATTCAAGGCTGGATTCGGTGTCACCTGCAGCTCTGCCTCCCCATGAACACGTTCCTTTCCTGGTCTGTAGCTAGAATCAAAGTTATAGAAATCACCTAGTCCTTGGGGCCGGGGATTTAGCTCAGTGGTGCTGCTGCCTGCCTTGCAAGTAGAAGGCCCTGAGTTCGATCCCTGGTACCAAAAAATAAAAAGAAAGAAAGAAAAGAAAAGAAATCACCTAGTCCATCCCCTCAAAAAGTTAATTTCAAAATTAAAACTGTCATTTAAAAAAAATTCTTGCATGGGCCAGGGATTTAGCTTAGTGGTTCTGTCGCCTGCCTCACAAGTGCAAAGACCTGAGTTTGATCCCCAGTACCAAAAAAATAAAAAATAATAATACTTGCAGGAAAATGGATGTATCTTTAGGCCATAATGTTAAGTGAAATAAATCAGACATGTGAGCTTAAATACTATATGGTTTCTGTTTTATGAGAAACCCAGAATATTAATAAAGAGCAAACAAAAGACAGATAATAGCCAGCTGTGGTAGTGTATTCCTGCAACCCAAGCACTTAGGAGGCTGAGGCAGGAGGATTGCCGTGAGTTCAAGGTCAGCCTACATAGGGAGACTCTGTCTCAAAAAACCAAAAAACAGGGCTGGGGATTTAGCTCAGTGGTGGTGCATCTGCTTTACAAGTGCAAGATCCTGTAGTCCTGAGTTTGATCCCCAATACTGGAAACAACAACAACAAAATAAAAACAAAAGACAGATAATAGGAAATAGGGAGATCATTCTCAGATGAGAAGGAGATCAACAGGTGGACAGAGGGTAGAGGGAGGGGAAGGGGCGGGGCTGAAAAAAGATTTAAAATGTGTTATGTACATTTATCAACTCCACACAAGGAATGTGATCTCCACGTGATCAACGTGCACCAATAAAAATTTTTTAAATATATTTAAAACTTCTTGCCTAGTTAAATGTGAGTAGAGCAAGCAAGCCTTCTCCCAACCAGCCTACACACTTTCACAGTCGCGTCTCCATGCGAGCGCTGTGCGCTGACGAGTTTCCGCTGTGCTGTCCCAAGCATCTGCACTCTCACTCTCACTGTGCCCCCTGCGCCAGAGGCACCGCTTCAGCCCCCTCCTGCCTAGGCCCCTAGCTCAGCCCCGGAAAGCTCTACCTAAGAGTGGATCACCAACCGTCTGCGGTGAATGGCGCCCACAGCTGTGCACCCCAGCGTCCCTCGAGGCCCCCAGGAATTACGGGAAATTCTGTAGACGCCAGCCAGCAGAGACAGGAAGGGAGGTACCAAGGAGACGGCAAGGTGTCTGCACTCCGGGAGGAGGGAACAGAGAGAGCTGGGAGCTTGCAGGTGGCAGGCGGCAGGCAGGCGGGGGAGACAGGCTGTGCTGAGTCACAAGGGCACTGGGGCGCCGTCACCCCACTTCACCCCCAGGATGGTGTGAAGAGGGCAGGAGTGGGGGCAGCGGGAGCTGGACAGGACAGTGGACACGGAGTGAGCTGCACATGGGGAGCAGAGGCCCAGGGGATTTCCAGGGAGGACGCAGCTCCTGCCTTCCGAGGTTCCGGAGACCTTACCTGCCTGGTTCCGCCCTGTGGCAGGGCAGCTGGGATGGCAGGGTGAGGAAGGCGTTAAGCTAACAGCAAACACGTCTGGGAGACAGAAGTCACCCTGTGACTGCTAATGTTTCCATTTACTCAGTGCTTTCAACCTATTTCAAATACCCTTGCGCTAATGATGATCTCATTTCATGTCCAACACAACCCTGGGAAGAGGCAGGACTGGATGCTATCTCTCCCCTGCTCCTTCCCTCACTACCCTGTGGCTCCCTGATGGCTCAAACTGCTTCCGCCATCTAGAAGCATCCGGGGCTGAGCTGGGTGATGCCTTGGGGGCTGCCACGGGGACAGGATGCTGAGTCTGTCTGGCTCCATCCTGGCCTTGCTCCCTGCTGCCTGTCCCGGCACGGTGTGCTACGAATCATGTCCCTCCCGGACTTTCCCAGGCCGCCCTCGCCTCTGCTTAGGTCTGAAGGCCCAGCACACTCCCCAGGGAGCTGTCAGGCCTCTCCTCCTCACGGAAGCCAATGAAGGCCTCGGCCCTGAGTGGCACAGTAAGCAAGCAGAGAAATCCGGGCTGGCATCAGAAGACCAGGGTTCTAATACCGGCTCTGAGAAAGAGGAGGGAATGGATCAGCTCCCACCCCACAACCTTGGCTTCCATGACTGTCACACAGAAATAACAGCGCCTGTCTCCTGGGGATACTGGGAGGATTAAGTGAGATTAAGATGCCGAAGTGCTGCATACAAATGAATTACTCTGGTTATTAAGGAATGCAGGTATCAGAAGGACTACAGAGCAATGAAATGAGGCTAAACTGAGTATGTGGAGTCTGGAACCCAGTGCAGTTCCTGTGTGGCCCTAGGCAAGTCCCAGGCCTCTGCTTCCCAGGGCCCCTGCCAGCTCTAAGATGGCAGTGTTGCATGGGCGATTCCTCTGGTCCAAGAATTCTGGCACTGGCCAACCTGATCTCCATCTCTCTCTCCCTCCCCTCCCCTCCCCTCTCTCTCCCATCCTTCCTCCGTCTTTCTCTTTTTCTCCTTATATTAGATGCAGGGTCTGTGTTGCCCAGGCTGGCCTTGAACTTCTGGGCTCAAGTGATCCTCCTGCCTCAGCCTCCCAAGCAGTTAGGACGATAGGTACACAAGCCATTGGATCCAGCTACACCCTGTTATCTTGACTGTGTTATCCCAGCCTTATACTGCTTTAGATCCAAAAGTCTTACTGAGGGAAGCCAGTCATGTTACCCAGACTTTGCTCCATTCCTTGTGTTTCCCCAGGCAGCTGAAGGATCTATGCAGTCTTCTCAACTCCTTTAATTTCCATGGCTCCAGATGCCTCCCAGCTAATAATGGGGTTAGGAGTATCTTGATAGTGAAACCAGCGACAGATGGAAAGGTGAGATTTCCCAGTTGGAAACATCACCCTGCCTGGTTTTCCTCCTTGCTAGGGAAAGCTGGTCTAAATGGCCACCCTGCACAGGCTGCTTCTCCCAGGACAGTACTAACAGGGCCAGACCCCCGATCTTGCCCTTGAAGAAGCAGCCCAGGGTCACTGGCCAAGCTCACAGAGGTGCATTAAATACTAAACATGAGAAGGCCAGGGCCCCTGGTGCGGCAGCATATTCCCAGCCCACAATGCACAGGACCTGGCTGTCACTGGGCTTCCCTGCTCCTAGCCCCCAGTCCCATGAAGGAATAAGAAAAGACAATGTTTTCTTCTTCCCAGCTTGCTCACAGTTCCCCATGTCCTTCCTCCAACCCCCAGGGTTGCGTGCTTCAGGGACCTGGAAATGTCCAGAATGCTGAGCTGTGTCGTGTGCAGTCCTGAAATTGAACAGGCCTGTGATTGACCAAGCCGGGGCCTTGGGAGATCAGCCCCACTGATGGCTGAAGCCTCCCCTGGGAAGGGAAGGGCTCAGGAAGAACACCGCCCCTGACATCCTTCAAGGCACTGGAGAACTGGGTATTACTGGACCAAGGCCTGGCTGTGTGGGCCGGCTGGTTTGTTTTTCAGATTAATGTGGGTCATAGAGTTAACTGGATTGGTAGGACCTCAGAGATCACCCAGGCTAACCTTCTAGCTTACAAAATGGGAAACCGAGGCATGAGGAAAGGGGGAAACCATTTATACAAGGTCCCTCAGGGAGCTGTAGAATAGCTAGGTGCAGACTGGGTCTCCGGCATAGAGCCCAGTGCTCTTTCAACCCCACATCCTGTGTGACCCTCCAAACCTCCTTCCTAATGACACCACGCAGCGGGTCTGGCCCTGAATGGAATGGTCCCTTTTCATAGGGAGCAGAATCTACTCATGGTCCTGTCTCGCCATGAAGGACCTGAAAGAGCATGAGGTCCGTGGGTTCCAGCTCAGGTCTGCCACTCTGTGGGATGGAACCTTGGTCCCATCACTTCTTTGAGTTGTCACAGTTCCTTACCGGTAAAGCAGGGACTTTAGAGCCTCTACCCTGGATGGGTACTAGAAGGACCAAATGAGATCATGTAGGTGGGGCATTTTTGTACTGTGAAAATACTATCCAAAAGTCAGACATTAGTGATACAGGAGTGCCTCGGTTCATGAACTTGATTCTTTCCATGATTCTGGTCGGAAACTGAGTTGAGCCAGAACCAAATCAAATTCAGTGGTTAGGTTCGGTGTTGACGGGGAAATCTGACTCAGTTCTTGTCCAGTTCAGTTCGTGACCAGTATGGTGGAGAGAATGGAGTTCGTGAACCGAGGTACCATTTTCTGATGTGAGGTCTGAAGATGCTGCAGAGGGAGGAAGTGGCAGGGGAGGAGGCTGTGCAGGAGTGAGGGCCCACACTCACAAGCGTGAGGTCCCGCTTGGCTGTCCCACAGACCTGGCTGATCCTGGGGCCAGCCCAGACCCCCAGCAGCAGGTCAGACCCTGCCTGGCCACTCGGGAGGCAGTGGGCACGTGCAATACGAAGGGAGGACACCCCACTTCAGGCCGGCCCGCGGACCTTCCAAGGGGAGCCTTCCACCAAAGGCCCCACCGGAGCGCTTACCTTGTACTTGGCCGCCAGCAGCTCCGTGGCCTGCTGCTCCCGCTTCAGGTCCTCCAGCATCTTCTCCTTCTCCTCCAGCAGCTTCTGCTTCTCCTCGCTCACCAGGCTGCGGTCGTCCTGGATGGCCGCCTTCTCCTCCTCCAGCCGCTCCTTCTGCTCCTGCAGGTAATTCTCCATGTTCTTCTCCAGGGCTGGCTCCAGGCTGGGCTGGGGCGGGTGGTGGTTGTTGTTGTCATCCTCCTCCTCAGCCACCCAGGCCTCGATCACCGGCCCCTCGGGGTACCCTGGTGGCGCCGAAACAGCCTTCTTCCTGCGGCTGCTCTTCCTCCGGGGTCGCTTGCCCAGCATCCCCTTTTTCTCCAGCTGGGCCTTCAGGCGGGCAATCTCCTCCTGGAATTCCCTCAGCAGCGTGTCCTTGGGGTCCTCGTTCACCCGGGGCTTGTTCTTGATGTTCTTGGCTCGGTTGGCAAAGCGCAGGGTGGAGAGGCTCTCGTCGTAGCTGTGAGAAGCGGGGCCCAGTGTGGCCACCATGATGGTCTTGGCGTTTCCCCCCAGAGAGTCCTGCAGCAGCCGAGTCAGCTTGGAGTCCCGGTAGGGGATGTGTGTGCTCCTGCTGCCTGCCAGAGCAGCGATCACGTTGCCCAGGGCAGACAGAGAGAGGTTGATTTTGGAGGCTTCTTTAGGCCTCTCTCCATTGCTGCCACCGCCACCTCCTCCTCCACCTCCGCCACCACCTATGGATTGAATGGCTGTCCCTCCAGCTGTGTTGGGCCCTGCCTTGTTCTGCCTCTCGCTGCCAGCCAGATCCACCAGGTTGAGCTTCCCCACACGGATGTGCTCCTGGCCGTCGGAACCCCGCTCGCTGCACTCCACCGTGATCACAAAGATGGCGTGGGAGCGCGAACTGACCTCATTCATGTGGGTGCTGCCCACCGCCCGGGTCTGGTTCCCCAGGTTCATCACGTGCTCGATCTCCTTGACGTTCTTGGTGACAAAGGAGGAGAGGTCCTTGATGTAGACCCCCGTCTCGGGGTTCTCCTTCAGCTCTAGCCTCTTGCCGGGCTCCTTCGAGAGCAGGTCTCGAATCTCCTCCTGGTAGATTTCCAGGTAGGAGGCCCGGACCAGGTACTGCTGGTTCTGTGAGCGGGAGATGTGGGTGAAGATGTGTTCAAAGGCATTGGGGATGACCCCGCGCAGCTCGGGCTCCACCCAGGTGCCCTGCATGGTGTAGGTCTTGCCGGTGCCCGTCTGGCCATAGGCAAACACGGTGCCATTAAAGCCCTGAAGGACCGAGTCTATGAGGGGCCTCACAGTCTCATCATACAGGTCAGCCTGCTTGGAGCTGGCGTCGTACACGGCGTCAAAGGTGAAGGTCTTGGGCAGCTCCCCGAGGGCCGCGCGGGGGTTCCGCAGGGTCACCTGGCCCAGTTTCACGTCCATGGTCAGGATCTGCTCGTGACCAGCGGCCTCCTCTTTCCTGCTCAGGGGGCGGCACCGGGCCACCACCTTCAGGGCCTCGCTGGCCTTGGTCTTACTGGCCATCTTGCCGCGCTGTGTCGCTCCCGCTGTCCTGCTGCCTAGGTCGGGATCTGTGGGGAGGGCCCTGCCCCTGCCCCCAGGCG